CCATGCTCATACTACGTACACTTTGCATAATGAATTCAACTTTTTCCTACAACATAAAGTGAAAATAAACTGTTTCTGATATCATTTTCTTTCACCACTCGTTTACAGCTGTGAGTCATATTTCAATATTTAACTATTGCAACATTCAGAACTGTTACAACAACAAAAACCTTAAAGTGTGCAATCACGGGCAGACAGAAAATAATAAAATGGTTATATCTAGTGACCAGGCACATTTTTGTGGCCTAGATATTCCAGCAATACTTCATCATTTTTTCACAGACTGGTCAACTTTCGGCTTGTATTTTATTTTGACAGATGTGCATTCGCGTAAAAGTTTTGTAAAGTCGGGAGACCTTAACAGCAACAGAAAAGCTGGCTAAAGGTTACTTGCAATTCAACTGCAGCGGAATAGGATCTATCTGCGTTCTACACTGCTGAGCTTGTCCAGATACAGTTTCTCTATTCAGAATATTCAAATCCTGCTCTGATCATTATTGAAGGATGTATTTTTCAACCACGAAAAATCAAAAAAAATTCCACAAGATAATAGTCTGCCTGTTTTTTCACAATGCAACCAAAGTGGAGTTCCTTTTCCTAAAATATAATCCAAGACAAGGCCCCGCATTAAAATAAAACAATCTTCACTCAACTTTTACTTTATTAAATAAAACATATAAAGAACAGTTGCAGGAACTGGGCTTGGCTAGTCTAATAAAGAGAAGGACCAGAAGAGACAGGATAGCAGTCTTCCAATATTTGAGGGGCTACCACAGGGAGGAAGGGGTCAAGCTATTTTCTAAAGCACCTGAAGGCCAGACAAGGAATAATAGATGGAAACTGATCAAGGAGAGATTCAACCTGGAAATAAGGAAAAACTTTCTGACAGTGAGAACAATCAATCAATGGAACACAAGTTGCCTTCAGAAGTTGTGGGAGCTTCATCATTGGAGGCTTTCAGGAAGAGACTGGGCTGCCATCTGTCAGAAATGGCACAGGGTCTCCTGCTTGGGCAGGGGGTTGGACTAGATGACCTACAAGGTCCCTTCCAACTCTGATTATCTATTATCTGTTATTTATCTATCATATTTAGAGACTGCCCATCTTCTTCAAAGAACAACTCTAGTAATAGGCAAACAGACATCAGTTCTGTACATAATCTGTATAATTTGCCATCACAGGGCTTCACATAAGACCCTAAAAACCTTGAAAGCAGGGAGGGAAAGATGCATATAACTACAGGTAGTCCTCAGCTTATGACCACAATTGAGCCCAAAATTTCTGTTGCTAAGTAAGAAATTTGTTAAGTGGCTTTAAGCCCCACTTTACGACTTTTTTTTGTCACATTTCTTAAGTGAATCACTGCCGTTGTTAAATTGGTAACCTGGTTGTCTAGTGAATCTGGCTTCCCCGTTGACATCGCTTGTCAGAAGTTCGCATAAGGGGATCACACGACCCTGGGACACCGCAACCATCATAAGTGTGAGTCAGGGGCCAAGCATCCGAATGTAAATCAATGAACCTGGGGATGCTACAACCGTCATAAGTGTGTAAAATGGCCATAAGTCGCTTTTTTTTTCAGTGCCGTTGTAACTTTCAATGGTCACTAAGCGAACTGTTGTAAGTCAAGGACTACCTGTACTCCAAAATCGTTACCAACTTACTTTGTAAGATTTAATTCAGGCTCAATTGTGTTTGTAAGTCGAGGTCTGCCTAGACTTAACAGTGTTTTCCTCGTCTGAGAAAAACACTGTTAAATACAGGTAGGCCTCAACTTACAAACACAATTGATCCTGACATTTCTATTGCTAAACAAGGCAGGTTTGAAGTGAGCTATGCCCCATTTTGCAAACTTTTTGCCTCAGTCGTTAAGCGAATCACTGAAGTTGTTAAGTTGTTAAGTGGAAGTTGACTAGGAAGGTTACAAACAGTGATCGCATGACCCAGGGACAGGGCAACCATCACAAATACATGCCAGTTGCCAAGCACTCAAATTTTGGTCACATGACCCCGATGATTCTGCAACAGTCGTTAAGTGTGAAAAATAGACGCATGACAGTCTTTTTTTTCCCCAGTACTGTTGCAACTTCGAACCGTCATGAAGCAAATGGCTGTTAGTGGAGGACTATCTGTATAGCAGCAATTCCTGGCTCACAGCTGGTATAAAAGCATGTTTTGATGTACCAGCTGAACTGGCAGACCTAAAAGCATTTGACTCAAAGCCTTTAATTCACAACGGACAATCGAAAACAAATTCATTAGCACTTATTTCCCAAAATTTCTCCTTCAAATTTATTGCATTTACATTTGCTGCAGCCTATATCTTTCCTTAATGGAGAGTTGCGTATTTATTTTGGTACACACACAAAAAATATGCACAGTTAAACGGTTGAACAAAGCTTTCACACCACAGTTTTCTTTAAGGAAAGGAACCCAATCAATACAGTTCTTCCAAGTCGAAGTGCAAGTTAAAGATGCAATTTGTCTACACAGAAACCATTAAGCAAGACGGTAGGCCCTTATTTAAGAATCCTTTTTAGGAATCAAACCCTGCCAGTATATTTACATTCCAAAAAAAAGTTCCCTAAAATAGATACATGCAAAGCTCTCCAAGGAAAATGCCATGTATGACAGGGTCATACATCTTCTCATACTAACTCGCTCAAAACTATGGATCTATCTCAGCTCCCTTCCTGCGAATGGAGATCTATAGGAGAAGAATTAACAGAGCTGGGGTCAGAGTTAAGAGCATCATAAGCTTAGAATCATTACATTGCCACAAAAAAATCAAAGTCCATTCCTTTGTTATCCAGCATCAATTCAACATTGAACTTTGATTGACCAGATTCTTGTGTACAAGCTTCAACAATACATCTTTTGAACTATGACTTAATGTATGATCCTGATCCTTTTTGTAGTTGACAAGATCCAGAGGTGGACTGCTCCTGGTTCGCTCCAGAAATTTCATGTGGAGACTCCTGGGAGCGGCTGGGCAGGGCAGGGGGTGCATGGCCAGTTCGACATTCCTCGTGTTGGGGGCACCTGTGGTGGCCCAAGCGCTCTGCCAGCAAAAACGAGCTCCTAACCTCCATTTTCAGCTGCGACCGGGGTAGGCTGCTGGGGGTTCGCAGAGGTTCAGGAGATCATCTAGCTAAGATTCTACACAGTTTGGAGAACCCCCAAATCCCACTCCTGCCCACCCTGCCCCACCCCTCTCAGGAGTCCCCATGCGGCCTGTTTTGGATGCAGGTAAGTGTAGGGTGCACACGGAGGCTCGGGGAGGGCAAAAACGGGCCTCCCAGAAGTTTGGGAGGGCTGGAAACAGGCCTGTTTCCGGCTTCCGGAGTCCGGTGAGGTTGTTTTCGCCCTCCCAGAGGCTTGAGGAAAGTCTCCAGAGCCTCGGGAGGTCAAAAATGCCTTCCTCCCCCCCCGCTGTGGTGCAGGAGGCTGACTAGGCCACACCCACCATGGCCACACCCACCCAGTAACTGGGCAAGCCCATCCCCTGGCCTTGACGGCCTCCTGCAACCCTCTACCAGCTCAAACGGAGCTCCGGAGGGCAGAGGATGGCCCTCCTGAACTCCGTTTTCTCTGGCAGAGGCACCGCAGGCCGGTCCTTCACTGTTTCCAAAGTGACCCCACGGGCTAGATCTAAACACCCTACAGGCCAGATTTGGCCCATGGGCCTTGAGTTTGACTCCCGTGATGTAGATCAATTATTGTTTTATCTATATATATATATATATTTAAATCAACATAGACAAAGCCGCCCAGATTCTACTCTAGGCTATGATGTGGTTCACTTGGTTTTTCTTCTGCTTTTTTCCTATTGTTTCATTTTAATTGTAGGTAAAGTACAGTGAACTACTGGCCGTTTAAATAAGGCATAAGTCAGTAATATCCCATGGGATATGCCACCAGCCGTAACAGTTCTGGTTGAATGAAGTTCAACCTTCAAATAGGAGAAAACGCTTCTCTCTTCTACAGCCGATCCATCCTTAAAGGTAAACAATTATTCTGAATTGGGACTGCCAGGAGATCTAACAATCACGGCCCATGGTAAGGAATTTCAGTAGCAATCACTCAGGAACCCTTGAAAAGCCAGCTTTCTATTCCTGTCTCAGGAAACCTCTGGATGCTTGATCGTGCAACAGAGTAATTTTAATTTGTTCAAAATCAGCCCATTCCACAAGAAAGCATTGAAGTTAAGAAAGCCCAGGGAAGCCCGTGATGACGCGGGATGTGGCAGAAAGGCAACACAGTCAGATAAGCAATAAGAGTCCCTTTATTATCTCCAACTTTGCCCCCAGTGTCCAGGTTACCTTCAGGCTGGAGAAAAACTCTCCCAAGAACAGCCTTTGACTGCAGAAAATTCAGTCCAAAACATGGTACACACAAACTGTAACTTAAAGTCCAAACAAGCCAAACTGAAGTAATTAGTTTGGCAGGGCAGGAGCAGGAGCAGGAATTTCAGACTTGAAAGCACGGCAAAACTCACATAGTTCAGAAGACGGCAGGAACACAGATAACCCATGACAATACAAGATAAAGTCATGGTTGCTCCCAACAGCTTGCTGCACGCAGCTTGCCTTTTTTATACACTGTGTTCCCAGCTGCAGCTAATGAAGGGAATCAGGGCCCTTTCCTCCCCTGAAGCCACGCAACCCACGTTGTTTCCTTCTCCGTTCCTCCCTGCATGCCCTAGGATGAAGAGGGAGTGGGCCTGGGTCTTCCTCTGAATTCACTCTCCCTTGTTCTACCTCTTCTCTGCTCTGCCCAGCCAGACTTTGCCCTTCCCCAGTTTCCTCCACAGCCAACGGAGCCACACTCCCACTCTCTGTCAGCTGTTCGGCTTCCTCCTCGGAGTCAGATTCCGACAGGGGCATGACAGAACCCATCATTAAGATAAAAATGAGATAGCCACAAAAAAATGTCTTTACAAAAAATAAAAATAAACAAACTTTGCAAATTAAACAAGAGGCACTTTTTCAAATACTCACAGAATTAATTATCCCGCGGAGAGCTTGAAATCCTTCTCTTACCGGGAAGACTTGATCCTTTGAATCAGCAATGCTTTCAAGCTGGGGAAGGAAGCACAAATACAACACAGATTCGTGCTACCAACCTTTAGACACAGATAGACAGGCATTCATGGACAAGATTTAATAAAGATTTAGGGCAGGGAAATGAATGCCTTCAAGAGAACCACAGGTAGAGACAAAATCCTGTTTACTAATCGCACTTTTTCTTATTCCCGCAGCAAAACAAATTAAACACAACTTCAAGGAAGATTCCCAGCTATGAAAGGCCACGAAAGAAAAACAAGGAGCAGTTTTATTTACAGAATGGTTTTTACCGAATCTGCTGATTCTCTTATTTAAAACCAAACTAACCATTATGTTATCCTCATTTCTCTCCAAGTCTATTAAGAGTATGAGGCAAGGCAACACAGAGCAGCCAACCCAACAAAGCAACCTTGAGCCACAGTAAATGACCCAATTTAGCCGAATCAGGCTAAGGGTCAAACTCCATGTTACACTGAATGCATAACAGAGGGATGGGCTAGTTGTGTAGATGGATGGGCTAGTTGTGCTAGCTACGTGGCCTTTTAGTTTTGTGAGTGGATCTGAGTGTATATCCTGACAACCCCAATAAATCATACCTCTGAAATTTGGCAGCAATTCATAAAACAATGATGGTAGGATTTTCCACCCATTTTAAGTCATCATCTTCATTTAACAACCGCATAATCCCTTGTGGTGTGGAGTCTGGGCAACTGAATGGAGCTAGCAGAGTGTTTTAATGGCCGGATGCCCTTCCTGTCGCCAGTGCGGAGTTTCGCTCAGCAGATATATTCACAGTGTGCCCAGAGAGAGAGAAATATCTGCCTCTACCTAGGATCGAACGCACAGCTCCCTCTCTAGGCCATTCCTTTCCACTCATTTTAAGTAAAGAAAAAATGTCTGTAAGCTGCCAGATTAACGTACCTAGAATACAGGTACCTGTTATGGTTCGCCGGCAGCCTGTGCAGACGGCAGAAGAATCAGACAGTGGGGAAGAACAGGGACCAGTCCGGTAGTCTGGAGAGGACTCAGACAAGGGTCCTGCATCCGATACAGAGATGGGGCCAGGACCATCTGGGAGTCATGCGCTGACTCCAGAACCTCCGGAGTCTGGCAGCAGCGAGGCAGAGGAGCAAGGGGAGCCTGTTCCCAGTGCGCGCATGCGCAGAGCTGCCAGAAGGCAAGAGCAGCTACGACAAAAGGGCCGACTTGGGAGTAAGGCTTGGAGGTAATTGCCCCTCCCATAAGATATAAAGGAAGTGCAAAGGTAGAGAAACCTTTGCAGGAAGCAAAGTCGTTCGCTCTGTTCGGATTAAAGCTTGAAGCTCTGTGTGGACTTTGTACTTCATTTGGCTTTTTACGGTTAATTTGGCACTTTAGTTGTTGGCAGCAATTCAAAGGAGGTAAAGGTGGGTGCTTATCTCGAGAGACTGTTTGGGACTCATTACAAGCTGGGAATGAACTTAATTCCCAGCCGTTGAAATAAAACAAGAGTTGTTTGGACTAAGCGTGTGCTTAATTACGGTCTCAGAAAGCCTTGGTCCGAACAATACCACCATCACCCCAGAAAATGAACCCCAAAACACAAAATAGTTGCTGAAAAGATTCAGTGAAGAAGGGCATTTCTGCAAGATCCAATTTGAATCAGTCACTGGGATCAAAGATTTATTTTCCCAAGCTTTCAGGCTCTTGTTGGTGACCATCATTGGGGAACTTTTCACTCTCTCTCTCCAGAATATGCACAGTGGGATATTCTACACATTGTATTAGAATAATTTGCGGTTGTGTGTAGCTTTTAGTTGTTAATTAACGACTGCCGACTACATTGTCGAGTGTTGTTTCCTTGTGCCTCTGCACCCTTGCCTCCTCAGTATCTGATAGTCTGGTGATAATTCAGCATTCCTATTGACTGTCAAGGGGCCCATTTCCCAGGCTTCAACCATTTCGCTGGCTATTTTTGTCTCTGTTCAGACAACAATCATAGCAGTTGTGAAAATGAATGCATGTCCTTGTTCATTGCAATGTGAGGCTTCCAATGAGTTTGGGTCACCTCATCCAAGGAAATTTCTCAAATAAGAAAGCACCTTTGCCACATATATATATATATTTTTTTTCATTTTAATATGCAAATTCCCAAGACGGAAGGCCCTACCTGCTGTTGATTAAAATTGAGGACTCCAACACAGTAAACTCTAGCTCCCATGGATCTGGCATTATCTGCCTGTAGCAGAGAGAGAATGAAATGGGGGGAAAAAAAGAGTTATGTCTACATTTGTCCACCCAAAATAACAATGCATGTGCAAATGTCAAGCTCAACAGGAAGCACTGTTGGACTTCAACGCTCACCTCTTTTTTCGCATACTGTGGGATCAAACCTTCCAACTTTCCATCTGTCAAGGCAATGATTACACTGTTGGACCCTTTCTCTTTTACAATCTGATCATTTGCCTGGAAAAAAAAAAACCAAAAGAATTTGTGCTCTTACAATTGCATTTGGAGGTGGAGAAGAACAAGAAATGGAGGATAGAAATGGTGAACCACACGGAGTTAAGCACTGATCTAGCTGCACCCAATTTCTTACGTTTAATGTCAATGTGAAGGATCTACAGGTAGTTCTCAACTTACAAAGGCTTGTTTCGTAACTGTTGGAAGTTTCAACGGCACTGAAAAGAACTGACTCATTACGTTTTTCACACTTACAACTACTGTGGCATCCTCATCAAAATTCAAGACGATTGGCAAGTGACTTGAATATATATGATGGGGTATGTGTTGTATTGTAGCAATTTTATTAGTTTATGTTGTGACATACAAAGAAAATACAAAAGCAAATAGTAGGAAAAATAGGGAAGGGAAAGGAAGGGAAAAAAGAAAAAATAGGCATTGACTTCCAACTCCCTTTGGTGCAATAGAATAAGGCATTAACATCAAACCTCAACTTTTTTACTTTTACATAATAGTTTAAAGTAGCCATTTCTACAACAACAGATCTATTGGTAAAACCCCAAAATCAACATTTCATTTTTTCCCCTCATCTCAAGTACAAAGTCCAGAATCGGTTTCCAGGTAGAAATAAAAAGTATTTGAACCTATCCAGATTCAGCTGGTTTGGACCGGTTTGGCGAACAGGATGTTAAATTTACATTTGGTACGCTGAACTGATAGTTGAACTGACCCGCTGGCCCCACCCACCCTCCCCTCCCCTCCCAGGAGTCTCCACGCTGCCCATTTTGGAATGCAGGTAAGTGCAGGGTCCGCGCAGAGGCTCTGAGAGGGCAAAAAAAATGGGCCTTGTGCAAATCCGGAAACGGGCCTGTTTCCAGCTTCCAGAGAGCCTGCAACGCCCGGGAGAGGCCATTTTCGCCCTCCCAGAGGCCCGAGGGAAGCCTCCGGACCCTGGGGAAGGTGAAAAATAGCCCTCCTGGTAGGCCATGTCCACCACGGCTATGGCCATCCAGCAACCGGGCAATGACTCAGTTGCTGGGATAATCCCACATATCTGTGACAGCTGCAGTGTCCCGGGGCCACGTGATCATCCTTTGTGGCTTCCGGACAAGCAAAGTCAATGGGGAAGCCAGATTCACTGAACAACTCTGTTACTAATTTAACAACTGCTGTGGTTCACTTAACAACTCTGACCCCCCCCCCCCAAAAAGGTGGCAAAATGAGGCAAAACTCACTGAACAACTGTCTCACTGACTTAGCTTGTCAGAAGGTCACAAAAGGGGATCACATGACCCCGGGACAGCACAACTATCATAAATACACGCCAGTTGCCAAGCGTCCAAATTATAATCATGTGACGGCAGGGATGCTACAAACGTTGTATGTCTGAAAAATGGCTATAAGTCACCAGAATAGGATGGGATGGAATGGAATGGAGCAAAGTGGAGCAAAGTGGAACAGATCAGAAGAGAACAGAATAGCAGAGTTGGAAGGGACCTTGGAGGTCTTCTAGTCCAACCCCCTTCTCAGGCAGGAAACCCTATAACCATTTCAGGCAAATTGTTGTCCAATCTCTTCTTAAAAACCTCCAGTGTTGGAGCATCCACAACTTCTAGAGGCAAGTCCTTCCGCTTATTAATTATTCTCACAGTCAAGAAATTTCTTAGTTTTTTTTCAGTACCTGCCACCAATAAATGGCTGTAAGTCAAAAACTACTTGTATTACTTTTATTATAGGATTACAGTAACAGAATGTGCTTTCGCCTTCCTTCACTGTATCTTTGTGAGAACAAGGAACGGTTCTCAAATTATATTTCTGCCAGAGACTCAAATTCCTTTGATCTAACCATTGTCTTGGCTGTGGTTCTTCATCCTGTACCTCAAGGTTATTTTTACAGCCCATTACACTATTGGACCGAATCCAATTTTAATGAAGTGGTTTCCCTTCCCATCGCTAACACCACAAATCCATTTAGAGAAAGCATTTTTTTATTTGCTTTTACTTTAGTTAGCAATGAAATCTTTCTTCGATTCACAGAGCGATCATTTTAGTTTCCTTTTAGTTAGGTGCCCTGGTGGAAGCTGTTTCCTCCCAAAGATATTACATCGTCATTTCATCTTCCCTTTTTAGATCCTGAAACAAACTGCTTAGCTCTTAGACCCAGTTTTGGTCACCATGATACAAAAATAGAGGTTGAGAAGTGAACAGAAGAGCAACAAAGATGATTAGGGGGTTAAAACATACAAAGAACGGTTGCAGGAATTGGGCATGTCCGCTCTTTTGTGAAGACGAGGACTAAGGGTGATATGAGAGCAGTGTCCCAGTATTTGAGGGGCTGCCATAAGGAAAAGGTGGTCAACCTTTTCTCCAAGGTACCTGAAGTCAAGACAAGAAACCATGGATGAAAACAAATGAAGGAGAAAAGCAACCCAGAAGTAAGGAGAAATTTCTTGATAGTGAGACCAATTAATCTGTGGAACGGCTTACCACCAGAAGTTGTAAGTGCTCCATCACTGGAGGTTTTGAAGAAGAGATTGGACAGCCATTTGTCTGAAACGCTATAGGGTCTCCTGCTTGAGCAGAGGGTTGGACTAGAAGACCTCCAAAGTCCCTTTCAGCTCTGTGTTTCCTGTTCTGTGTCTGTTTATCGATGTGTGTGCATTTGTATTATTTTGTAAAAGAGCTTTCCAGTCCAGAACAGACTCATCAACATCCTGCATACTGCCCAGAATTCTTCAGGAGTGAAGCAGGGTAGAAATACTACCAATTATTATTATTATTTTTAAGGCAAATAATGATTCAAAAGGTAGAAAGTTCTCAAACGGCAATGAACTACACTGCATCTCCAATTACAGAAAATGCAGAGAACTTACTTTTTGTATTCCTTCGTGCATATATGTTTCACCTCCTGGCTTAACGTTTTGTAAATCTTCAATGCCTCTCTGAATGTTTTGCCTAAAAATAAGGGGGAAATCATGAAAACGTTTATTAAAGGGACCAAAATTACTGGAATTAACTCGTTTTCTAGTAGCTTGGCAGATCTTTGGAGATAAAAGATTTGTAAATACAGTTTTCCTCTACTCAAAAGTATTCACTCCAGATTCCTAAAACATCTTGCTTTTGATGGCTACACCTAAACAGATTCATGGCCCATGGTGAATTTGGCCTATAAATATTAGGCGCGAATAATCAGGACATGTTAAATTCCAGTTCAGAAGACGTATTGCTCAAGACTCTATACAAGGATCTCGTCAAAGTTCAATCCTAAACTGGCGCCAGATAAGGGTCAACAGAATTCTAGACGGATTGGACTTGGACCTTTTGTGGCAACACAATGATTCTATGCTGCTAACATGCTTAACTCCGCCCACCCCCAGCTCTGCCTGCTCTTCTCCTACAGTTCCTTCCTTAGCTATCCATGTTAATTTTAACACTAATATTTAATCATTTAAATTGTTTATGTTGTCACTTTTATCTCGTTGCAAGCAGCATAGAAATTTAATAAATAAATAAGGTATTTATGAGCCACGGTAGCACAGTGGTTAGAGTGCAGTACTGCAGGCAAGTTTTGCTGCCTGCCAGCTGCCTGCAATTTGGCAGTTCGAATCTCACCAGGCTCAAGGTTGACTCAGTTTTCCATCCTTCCAATGTTGGCAAAATGAGGACCCAAATTGTTGCGGGCAAGAGGCTGACTAAACCGCTTAGAGAGGGCTGTAAAGCACTGTAAAGCCGTATATAAGTCTAAGGGCTATTGCTATATAGAGAAACTTGCAGACTTGGAATTTCTGAATCACTCTCCACTTCATTCCTCTCACCCACAATTGAAAAAGTAGACTAGATGGGAGCGGGGGAAAACCCTTTCAACAATCCATTTAAATCTGTACTACCAGTTCTGGTTGCCACCGAAGACATGCTGTGCGCTATAGATGGCAGCTGAACGAGTTACATAAAGTCAATGCAATCTGTTTAATCCAAAATATTTTACACTCGGCGTCTATTGAAAACAACCTGAAACTGGTTATGTATGAATGCAGATTACCAAGCAGACGCTCTCTGGTTGCCAGGGGATGTCTGGCAGACTGTCCGCAGGCTCTGGCAGTTCTGCTGCCAAGAAACAAATGACAAATCAAGTTCCAGGGTTGCTTTCTTTCTTTCTTTCTTTTTTCCCCCCTTTCTTTTTTTCAAACCAGATTTTTGCAATGCAAAAAATAGCTCTTCGTACAATCAGTTCAGTTTTATTTATTCAGCATAGAACCAAGACCTCCCTGCACTTTTGGACACCTGCAGCCCTATTTCAGCTATGGGGCCCAGTGAGTATAAAAAGAAAACGCAGTGGCTTCCACGGTGGAAAAAGAGATTATTCACGGTAAAAAAAAGAGATGATTATCTGGGTTGTAATGGAGGAGGAGGAGGAGGAGGAAGAGAGGGAAAAGAGGAGGAGCAGGAGGAGGAGAAGGACAAGGAAGAGAAGAGGAGGAAGAGGGGAGGGACCAGGAAGGGAGGA